GAGTAAATCCAGCCTCTGGTTCCCAGGGTAGGAATGCTTAAACTGAAAACTTCTTTTTGCAGTAAGAACATTCAAACGGCTTCTCTCCAGTGTGTGTTCTCAGTTTAATATTCAAAGTTCCTTTTTGTCCAAATTTCTTTTTGCAGTAAAAGCATTCAAAGTGCTTCTCTCCAGTGTGTGTTCTCAGGTGAATATTCAAACTTATTTTGTGTCCAAATTTCTTTTTGCAGTAAGAGCATTCAAAGGGCTTTTCTCCAGTGTGTGTTCTCAGGTGAATATTCAAAGTTCCTTTTTGTCCAAATTTCTTTTTGCAGTAAGAGCATTCAAAGGGCTTCTCTCCAGTGTGTGTTCTCAGGTGAATATGCAAAGCCCCTCTTTGTAGAAATTTCTTTTTGCAGTAAGAGCATTCGAATCTCATTTGAACAGACTTGGTGTTTCGTTCTAGGGTGTTTTCAATTGCAAACTCGGTCAAACATTGAGTGTCATTTTCAACTCTGTCCTGATGTAAGTTCTTTATAGTTAACTCAGTCTCACTTTCAATATGGGAAGAAGATTCTGGTGCTGCACTGCTGTCTTCATCAAAGCTATTGTCATCTTCAAGAATTCTTAGCATTGCATCAATTTCTTCCATGTCTCTGCTTCTGTCTTCTCTCCCTCCATCATCCAATCCATTATCTAGACCAGGTTCAATATCTATGTCATCTCTAGCTACTTCTAAAACAACTGGTTCTTGCAGTGGTGATGTTTCTGTGCTGTTGATAACATGGTCTATATTGATGTAGATGGAAGTACAGCCATTATTACAGCCATTGTTATCTGTCTGTGTACCAATGGAGCAGACTTCTTTGTAGACAACTGGTTGACCAATCATGACACAGTTCTCTTCTGCTGAACACTGAAAGGACACATTTATTCATTTAAAAACAGCTGGTAAAAAAACCTTTAAGAACCATAGTTACGAAACATTATGTATCAAAAACAAAAACGCAATACACTGTAGATTATAGATTAACCTGCTGTTGTAGATTATAAAGTATCAAATATAAAGGATGAAGACAGCCAAAGCTGTGTATAATATATGTCTCATTAGTGATCATAAAGCTTTCTGGAAAACTATGAAGTATAGTTTCAAAAAACGAGAGAGAGGGAGAGTGTTCATTAAACAGCTTCAACTGTTTCCCACATCGTCGCTTACCTCACCAGTCGGCCACTTGTGCTCCCCTGTCACCTTGTTGTAGATAAACAAAGTCTGTCCTGACTTACACTTGTATTCTATCCAGTTTGTATCCATTCTTGTTTCAAAAGCGAGGACATGCAAAACCTTTTTTTTAGGAAAATCATGAAAAATCAACAATGATACCACAGGCAGCCCATCCCTACACCTTTTTAAACTTCTATTGGGAAAAATACTAAAGATATGCATTCAAACCATACAATATTTACATAATGCACTTTTTGTGCCTATAATACAAAGTAGTAGACACTTTGTCACCGAGTCATATGCAAATGAGTAAGTAATTCAATAGAATGACGTCAAAATGCAATCAATACTTCCTTCGGTAGACCTAAAAACACAGGAAGCGCTCTAGGAAGTGATTGGTAGAACATATAACTATAGTATGAACGACCGCCAAAAATTCTAACAACCAATGTGAATCAATCATCTTTGCAGATTTACGAACAAGTTCATGAATATTTCTCGTGGTAATTCACTGCCGTGAAAGTTTGCGATGTGAGTTTGCTTTGGTGAGTATATTTTGCCTTTAGTTCTTCTTTTATCACATGAAAGTTCTATTAGTATTCTAAAAGTTTTAGATCTTTCTTTCAGAAGAAATTTCTCTAAACAGCCAGATAAAACTCAACCTAATACTGGTTCCCAACAACATTAAACTCCCACCACGCATGAGCAAACAAAACACAAACAAAACTCTAATGAATGCATTCTCTTGGGTTCGTTTCAGTAACGTCATCACTTGTAATTTTTATTTTACTCAAATTAAAAAATGACATTGATGCCCTTTTAGAGCATAAAAAACTACATAGTTTGACAAAAAAATAGGAGTGTAGATCATTTGTTGGCAATAATATTATCAATCGAAGATTTGCAAAATTTGGTAAAAATGTATGAAGAAATTCAGGTGGAGGTCAACATCTGACCTCCACCTCGATTCAATGGTTTACAAAACGACAGAAATTTGAATTTTTGGACATATTTCATGATAATATTCTTGCATTCAATAAGATGTGCCTAGTATATGAGGCAAAATGTTTTATGCACATCGAATTGTAACAGTTTTTTATAGACTGTATGTGACGGCATTGCGTGACACAACTCAATCTTTAATATCTTGAGAACCAAGGAATTGTATACACTCATTTTTGTTCTTATATTTTTATAATATCCATAGTTATAACATATATMGATTGTATCATCATAGGATGCATATTAGAGATTTAATATTTTTCTGACTTCACATGAAACCCAAGAATTAAAGAAACAATTCATGTACCTACAATCATGGACAAAATTCATGGGACAAAGTGTATGTCTACTAACACTTACTGACAATTTCCCCCCGTGGCCCCCCATTTCCAATGTTGGGCTCGAAACAAACCCTCCTTCCATACCGAAACATTTCCGCCAACAACATTGTTAACCAACATTGACTGTGGGGGGAGGAGGAGGCTTTGAGTAAGCATAAAAACAGCCCATAAGAGAGCGCATCTGCTAGAGGACAGTAATAGCGTTCTGTCCAATTCAGTTTTGTCTAGGATTGTAGCTAGAACTTCCATTTTATTCAAAATGGTGACTTATTATATTAAACTATTATTTAAAAGATTTTATTTCATGGAGATATTGTTCGCACTTTATTACTTTGTATCCAATAAAAAGTGCTTTGTGTTATTTTTAGCATAAATGAAAAACAGTAAAATACATATCGATATTCTGCACTTTCTCAGCTTTCTTTTTCTTTTTATTGTGTTAATATCTCGTCTCTGTTAGGATGAGTCAACCGCGACAAAATAAACGCTGATTGAGTCTAAATATTTGTGTTCCATAGATTTACTAAAAGCACTATGTATCCGCTTCACTTATATTTACAATTTGCATAATCTCCGGTCAAGTTTAGGGACACCTCAGTTTTAGAACAGTTGTGTTCCTTCTCTTAACAAATAAGGACAGTTTCGTAGGTTTTAACGAGCACCCAAACCGATAAAAATCTTCAACGGTTCCGAACAGCACTTGACTGTGAACGGGACCTCCGTACGTCGCAACACGGAGAAAAACAACAAGAATCAAACTTACCCTTATAGTTGGTATTTTTTTCTAAAGTATTGTCAAAAACTGCTTGCATATACTACAGTGAAGTGGTGTGATCACAACGTTAGAAAGATGGCGGTTCAACAGTTCCAGATGTCAGTTTCTACAAGGCGTTACTTGATTACAGCACAGGTAGCCCGCATGAACGGACAAAACACCGCCCCAGTTTTGTTTAAAAACAAATTCAAACAAACTATCAAAAGGCTGATTACTGTTATTAAGATCTTTCTGTACTGACATTCTAACACTATTGATCCTTCAAAAGCCTGGACATAGAAAAAGGATTTAAAAATATATACAGCTGACATCCCCAACTAAGGGAGAAAAAAAAAGAAAGAATAAACAAAACAAAAGTCAGCAGATATATGGAATGTTTCATAATTTGACCCCTATATAACACCAAACAAACCTTATTCCCACCCATGTCGTTGGGTCTATACTAAGTATTGTAGAACCAGCCATTTCACACACTTTTATAATATGTAGGCTCTTGACATCATATTTTTTGCGCATGTTTTCATTTTCTCGTCTGTGCTAGCCAGCTTGAGTATAAGGCTCTCAAAGGGGATTGGGGTGTAGGGACAATTCCCTTCAAGAGCCTGATACTCAGGCTACTTCCATTATATAGCTGTAGAGTCTGTTTGAAATTGTTCCCTCGTTTACTCAAAAACAACTCAACACTCCTGGCACTTTATCAACAAATTAACAGTTTAATATATAAATTGGTAAATCAATTTTATATCCTTGCTCCACAAAAACATTAAAAACATAAAATAGGCCATTTGCACTATGGCAGGGACATCAACTCTCCCGGATTTGCYGGGAGACTCCGTTTCAGATATATTCTCCTGGTCTCAAGATTTTAGCCCTAAATCTCCCGGATATGCATGCTATTTTCATAAAATGATACTTATTACTAACCATCGTAACTTTACTACAACTACCAGAGAGCCTTGCGCATCTTCATTGTTATTTTTTTTTAATCCCCTTGGAGATTAATAAAACAATTGGCACTAATTCCATTACAAAAGAAAGTTGGCAAAGCATTCTGGTAGTTGTAGTAAATGACGCCATAATGCAAATTGGCTATAATTTAGAGTTAGGGAGTGACCATGATGCCTTGGGGGCGTCATCACAGGTAGCCCGTATTTATCACATTCACCTGATTATGAGCTTCTTCACAGGGAGCCCAAATATTAAACAACAGTGCTCATGACTTTCCATACTCAATGGATCACTGCAGAGAATAGAGCGGATTTCATATGCGTGGGAAATGGACGGTACTGTACTGTGTCCGTAACCATACTGTAACCAAATTCTAGTGCCCCATTGTTTCAAAATTCTGCAGGCCAGGTGCGGTAACTTTGCGGTAACTGTGCGGTAACCATGCGGTAACGGTGTCCCTCTCATACGAAATCCCCTCTATTATTATATACCTTCTCTTTTATGCTAAGTGTATCTTGACACCTACAATGCCTGCATAGCTNCACGTCTGCTCCTAATGGTGGGGCCGGCCAATTCACACCATGGCATGCATGTAGGTAGCAAGAAAAGCTGCATCAATCACATTTTGTGCATGTATATTCATATTTTCATTTTCTCTTTTGAGCTAGCACACTCTTTGTCATTGTAGTTCCCGATGACTCAGTATAAATTAGTTGCTAGTGCGATAACTACGACGAAAAAACTGCTACATGGAAACATTTTCTCGTTATTTGTTTTATTTTATTTTTTCTCAGTTTACACTAAGATCTATTTCTTCTGCCTCTACTTATGTTGAAATGTGAACTGGTGCTCATTCTCCCTCGTTTACTGAAAAACAACTCATAAACTCCTGACACTTTATCAACAAATTAACACTTTAAACTGCAGAAAGACGTTTTAACTGCAATAAACTCTTTCTTAGCGAGTCAAATGAAGCAAAGACTTTGGCTGCGCTAAAAAACAACTGATACTTAACAGTTCTTTTTTGACGACTTAAAAAGGTGTCTGTCAACACAATTGTCGTTGAATAAAAATAGCTACAAAGAACAACAAGAAAAAAACAAGAATCGTACAAGCTCGAACGAACAAGGCCTTTGCAATATTTCTAATTTAAACTCATTCCAATTGCTTCGATTTCTATATGATTACATGAATTCTTATTATGTTAAATCGTTTTAGTTAATCAAAAATATTTTTTTTTATTTTTTTCAAAAAATAAACGGTACCGACATTGAAACTTTAACATTTTGAACTGTTCAGTCAAACTATAATTAAAGTCAGATGCAATGCTCCTCGTTCATAAAAAAACGCAGTCCAAAAATGATTTTCAACAATTCAAATAAGGATTAAAAAAAGAACAAAAATATTTAGCTTGAACAACATGGTTTGTTTTTCTCAAACTCAAGAAACAAAAAGTGCTAGTCAAAGCTTATTAAATTACAATACAAAGTACAATACATCGCGGAAAAGACCAAGAAAAATGTGTAAAATAAAGTGTTGTACGCTTAAGTGCATCAAACGGGTTTAGAAAATCTACTCTATGCTAAAAATGAATTCATGACACTTTCTTTCGTACATTTTTCTTGTCTATTTTTCTTCTTTTCGGTGTATAACATAATATCAAAAACCCTTGAAACAATAAGGTAGTCCATAACTTCAAAAAGGAAAAAAATGATATAGCACTTCACTACTGTGAAATAATGAAAATATTTCCACTCAAATTCAAACAGTTAAATAATACCTTTTCACGGGTTTACAGTAACCACTCCATTTCACGGATATAGTTTTTGCTCTACTCAAGGATAGATGCAACTTGACGAAAACATGTGAAACTTTGCAAAAAGTAGTTCGTAAAACACTAAAAAAGACATAAAAACTCATTTTAAAAATGCAACAATATTCAAACNGAGTTCACGTTTCGAGCGCCATTTTGAATAGATAAGCCACGTGATCAAAAACTCCAAAAATCTTGGAGGTTTTGATCACGTGATTCCAGCCAACGCCAGGGTCATCTCCCCGACGACCGCCATCTTGAAAAGGAGTCGGCCGAGATGGCCCTGGGGACGAGGTTGGGTTGGGTTCAACAGTTCCAGATGTCAGTTTCTACAAGGCGTTACTTGATTACAGCACAGGTAGCCCGCATGAACGGACAAAACACCGACCCTCTTGTTTAAAAACAAATTCAAACAAACTATCATTCATCACTGTTATTAAGATCTTTCTGTACTGACATTCATTGATATTGATCCTTCAAAAGCCTGGACGTAAAAAAAGGATTTATAAATATATACAGCTGAGATCCCCAACTAAGGGAGAAAAAAAAGAAAGAATAAACAAAACAAAAGTCAGCAGATACATATATGGAATGTTTCATAATTTGACCCCTGTATAACACAAAACAAACCTTATTCCCACCCATGTCGTTGGGTCTATACTAAGTATTGTAGAACCAGCCAATTCACACACTTATAATAATGTAGGCAACACTTGAATCAATAATATATTTTTTGCGCATGTTTTCATTTTCTCTTCTGTGCTAGCTAGCTTGAGTATAAGGCTCTCGAAGGAGATTGGGGTGTAGGGACAATTCCCTTCGAGAGCCTGATACTCAGGCTACTTCCATGGTATAGCTGCAGAGTCTGTTCGAAATTGTTCCATCGTTTACTCAAAAACAACTCAACACTCCTGACACTTTATCAACAAATTAACAGTTTAATATATAAATTGGTAAATCAACTTTATAGCCTTGCTCCACAAAAACATTAAAAACATAAAATAGGCCATTTGCACTATGGCAGGGACGTCAACTCTCCTGGATTTCCTGGGAGACTCTGTTTCAGATATAATCTCCTGGTCTCAAGATTTTAACTTTACTACAACTACCAGAGAGCCTTGCGCATCTTCATTGTTATTTTTTTTTAATCCCCTTGGAGATTAATAAAACAATTGGCACTAATTCCATTACAAAAGAAAGTTGGCAAAGCATTCTGGTAGTTGTAGTAAATGACGCCATAATGCAAATTGGCTATAATTTAGAGTTAGGGAGTGACCATGATGCCTTGGGGGCGTCATCACAGGTAGCCCGTATTTATCACATTCACCTGATTATGAGCTTCTTCACAGGGAGCCCAAATATTAAACAACAGTGCTCATGACTTTCCATACTCAATGGATCACTGCAGAGAATAGAGCGGATTTCATATGCGTGGGAAATGGACGGTACTGTACTGTGTCCGTAACCATACTGTAACCAAATTCTAGTGCCCCATTGTTTCAAAATTCTGCAGGCCAGGTGCGGTAACTTTGCGGTAACTGTGCGGTAACCATGCGGTAACGGTGTCCCTCTCATACGAAATCCCCTCTATTATTATATACCTTCTCTTTTATGCTAAGTGTATCTTGACACCTACAATGCCTGCATAGCTGCCATCTTGGGATCCCTGTGGAGGCCGTCATATAMGACTGAAGCACCCTACTTCATGTAAAAAGGTACAATGAACATTTTAGAGCAAAACTAAAATAATTTTCAAATAATCACTACAAATGAATACATGTTTATATATTTTGTAAATTACAACAGTCATGCCACTTGACATAGTCTCACTTTTTTGTACTCATCACATTTTTGGCTTCATCTATCTATGAGTACAGACCAACCAAAAAAATGGAATCTACTAGACAAGTTAAAAAATATGTATTTGGATGTAATCATAATAAATTGAAAAGATCTCTCACAAGTGAGTATAGCGAATAAAATTCATATCTCCAAGCGACCATGTAAATATTCTATTTATCATATAATCACATATGAAAGTAATTTAGCTTTTATCTTACATCCACTAAAATATAGAAACCTYGAATGTGTTAGAAATAATTACAGCTTTACTTAATGGAGAAATAATTAAGGATTTTTTTTAGATAATTATATGATAAAATATGTTTTTTTCTTTTTCATGGATGAGAAAAATATTTTTGGTAGCTATCTTTTTCTATTTTGCTAAAGATTTKTGTTACATGTATATAATATAGATCCAAGCACCATCTCAAAAGTTTAAAATAAAGTAATGCCTCTGCACTGAACCAAAATAGCTATGCTGGCTCACTCATGAGACATCAAATGAAAGGATGCAGAAAGAAATCTGCATCTCCAAGCACTAGTATATAATATCCTCTATATAGTGTATCTCAGCAGTCACAGTATAATAATATAGCAAATGCAGCCAGATACTGCTTTTAGACAATTCTAGTTGTCCTCTAGCTTTCTAATTAATTCACAACACTCGCACAGACAATTTTTAACTGATTAATTTGCACTGAAGAAGATCTGAGACCAGATCGAAATGTCTGTTATTAAAAAATTAAGCTAGAAACAACTAGATATTTATACTAACTATGAATCCTAGCTACAACAACCATATCTTTACTGCTGTTAGATGGTAGATGTTAATTGCTCTTTATTTGAATTCAAACCTTTGCTGTTCTACAGCATCATCAGGGCCTGTAGAACATCAAAGCTTGACTTCTAATAAAGAGTATTTACCATCTACCATCCAACAGCAGTATCCAGCCACATTTGCTATGAATACTAATACATGTAACTCCCATGCTAACATGCAGCTGAAGGATAATTTCTCAAGATTAATCAGCAATCAGAATTTGGATTATTTACATTATTTTTAGAGCAAAAGCAGGAAAACCATTGTAACAAAACCAAACTAAATACTAACAAATAGTGCCTATTTAGAGCAGGGTCCGCGCAGAGTATCAAAAACCAAATTTAAGGACTTTTCAAGGACTTTTTCAAGGACCAAAATTGTATTTTCAAGGAGCATTAAAATCATGCTAATTGTACATTTTTACCTCAAAACTTCAGCCCAACGGAATAATTCAGAGATCGCTAGTGCTTTGTGATAGAGATCCATCTTTTTCGAGGAGTTTTCAAGGACTTTTTCGAAATTTTCAAATTTTCAAGGAGTTTCAAGTGCCCTTGAAAACGAGTTTTCAATTCAAGCACTTTTTAAGGATTTAAGGACCTGCACGGACCCTGTTAGAGACAAATTGTCATTATCAATGAACCAGAATGCAATAAAGATGAAAAATGGTCCCGTGTGGATTCATCTTTATTGTGTTCTGGTTCTTTGATACTGACAAATCATCTCTAGTAAATTATTTGTTAGTATTTAGTTTGGTTTTATTTCATGGTTTTCCTGCGTTTGCTCTATTATAAAAAATCAATCAGTTCTTAATGAACATCTTTCATATAATTTCACTTGTTGGTTATTCAAAAATATCTAAATGATATGATAAAATATTTGTAAATATGTTCAAATGTCTTGGTCGGCTGGCTGCCTATGACATTACAATATCTAAAAACACTGTCTTAAGCTGAATTTGATGTCAATTTYTTTTTTACCTACAACAATCACATGCTCCCTGCATAAGACATCCTTACAATATACTAAGCTACAACTATTGTAAGGAATAGCGGATTTGCATTATGGCGTCATTTACTACAACTACCAGAATGATTTGCTAACTTTCTTTTGTAATGCAATTAGTGCCAATTGTTTTATTAATCTCCAAGGAGATTAAATTAAAAATCTGAATAACAATGAAAATGCGCAAGACTCTCTGGTAGTAATAGTTAAGTTACGCCATAATGCACCTCCGCGSCACCTGCCTAACCATTTCCCTCTACAAACTATGCACTAACCAAAAGCAGATCAGCCTGCTCTAAAAAAATTCTAGAAGGTCTGTGAAAAGGGAGTCACTCACTTGAAGAGTAGTAATTCCAGTGTTGCCTTGTTGTCTTGTGGTATTAGAGCCTTGTGCACTATCGTCAGTAACTTCTCCATTGGTGGTTTCACCAGAAATTCCAATGCTGTCATCTTGTTGTAGTCCAGAATCATCATCTTGAGCAGTCTTCMCCAGTGTTCTCGCACTTGGTGGCACAGGAATCCCAAGACTGTCTGTTTGACTTGCACTATCATCTGGAGCACTCTCTTCGCTGACTGTTTCCTTGCTCTGTACAGTTATTTCAATGTCAGCGGCTGGTTGTAATGCAGCATCGACAGCTTGAATAAGCTCTTCATTAAATGTTTCTTCATTCGGTTGATGAGCAATTTCAGTCTTASGTGTATACTTGTCTCCACAAATGGTGTCCTCTTCTGCTTGTGGAGATTTTTTATCTGGAGAATTTTGAGAAGCTTCTTCACTTACTGTTTCTTCGTTTCCTTGCAATGCATTTTTAGTGTCTGCACTTTGTCTTGGAGTACTAGCTACCTCAGTATTCTCTTTATTATGTACTCTCTGGTGACCTGTCAAATGTGTCTTTTGTCTGAATCTCATTTTGCAAATAKGACATTCATAGGGCTTTTCTCCAGTATGCATTCTTGTGTGCCGAGTCAAATCGTTCTTTTTGGAGAACTTCTTTGGACAGACAGTACATTCAAAGGGTCTTTCTCTTTCAACTTTAGGTTTTGGGGGTTTGGTGTGGATTTTAAGGTGGTTTTTCAGATGCTTATTTTGTTTGAACTTGGAATCACACTGCGGACATTGATAAGGCCTCTCTTCGGTGTGCTTTTGTACATGACGCCTAAAATCGTGCTTATKTGCCAACTTTTTCTGGCAGTAAGAGCATTCATACTTGAAGGGCTTTTCTGGAGTATTGTGTGATCGAGCAATATGGGTTTTCAGYTGAGTAGTACTKGCGTACCTTCYTTTGCAGTAAGAGCATTCAAAGGGCTTTTCCACAGCGTGTACTCTTACATGACTGGTCAATAGATTTTTACTKAYAAATTTCTTTTGACAGGTTGGACACTCAAASGGCTTTTCRCCAGTRTGCGTTCTCTCATGAYACACCAAAGTAGCCCTTTCCGAAAACTTCTTTTGGCAGTGAGAGCATTCGTAGGGTGTYTCTCCAGTGTGCCCAAACGTATGCCGTCTCCACCCACTCCTTCGTGCAAATTTCTTTTCGCAATAAGAACATTCAAATGGCTTTTCTCCAGTGTGCGTTCTCTCATGTTCCMTCAAAAAGCGAACGTTTAGAAGTTTCTTTTGACAAAATGAACACTCATAAGTTTTTTTCTCRTGTTTTCTCAGRTGACGCTTTAGCAGTGAYTCATRTGAGAATTTTTTTGGACAATTGGTACATGCAAATGRCTTCTCATGTTTTCKTAGATGAACTTCCAGCTTTGCTTCATCTGTGAACTTCTTTTCRCAGTAGGAGCACACAAACGGCTTCTCATGTTGTCTTAAATGACGTTCCAGCTTAGCTTCGAGAGCAAACTTCCTTTGACAATAAGAACATTCAAAGGGTTTTTCATGCTTTKTTAGGTGGCTTGTCAGCWTTGCTTCGTCTGCAAACTTCTTTTTGCAGTGAGAACACGGAAAGCRCTTCTCATGAGTCACCATATGACRGTCAAGATTTGACAAGTCTCTAAACTTYTTCCGACAATGAGAACACTCGTAAGSTTTCTCATGAATTTTCARATGAAGGCCAAATATCGTCTTCTTTGCAAATTTCTTTTTGCAGAAACTACATTCATAGATCTCCTCATGTTGTTTGAGATGGCGTTCAAGTGTTGACTTCGATACAAATTTCTTTTCACAGTGRGARCATTCAAAGGACTTYTCGCTATGTGTTCTTAGATGGCGGTTAAATGTTTTCTCCCCTTGGAATTTCTTTTTGCAGTGAGAACATTCAAAAGGCTTCCGGTGTTTTTTGAGGTGACAGTCAAGCTTAGYCTTTGTWGAAAATTTCATTTCACAATGAGAACACTTAAATGGATCCTTGTGTGTCCTTAGGTGACGGTCAAACGTTGCCTTTAGGCCAAATTTCTTTTGACAAACTGAGCATTCAAATGMTTTTTCATGTTTTCGAAGATGATACTCAAGYTTGGTTTTCGTTGCAAATTTCTTCCTGCATTGAGAACATTTYAATGGCTTTTTTGCAATGSTTGTTCTTCCTTCKTCTTGAGCASCATCAAATGCCRCTGRGATGTCATTTGTTCTGTCATTATCTAGATCATCTTCCAGACCTGTACGAATATCTAAGTCATCTCCAAGAACATACAAAACAACTGGTTCTTCAAAAGAGGAYGTTTCTGCGCTRCTAGTCACATRATGTGTGTTGATATGCATGGTATTAAAGCCATTTTCATCTGAGTCTTGATTGGTTACTGGCTGACCAATTGTCGTACAGGTTTCTTCTGGTTCTTGCTGAAAGTTTAAAATACAAAAATAATGTAAAAAACAAATACTAAATTTTCATTTTAGTAAGTAAAGTGCATTTCAATAGCAAGTTTCAATCATCTTAAGTTTTTCTGCGCAAAAAAAGGTTGTAGAGTACGAACACTAAAACTGTGCAACATAAATACCACTAAATACTGCTAAATTATACTAATTCTATTGTTTTCTATTTTTCCATTAACACTATTTTGTAGTAAATAGTGGAAAGTGTTGCATACATTTAATGTTTGTACTCTATACTGACTCAGGAGTGAAAGAAGTGGTAAATGTTTTCTCTCAAACTATGGAAGCTTGGGACGTGGGCAGGGTAAACTTGCATTACAGTCAAAAGACATGAAGAGCGCCCCCTCAAAACACCAAGTTATACAATTGCCCGTTCTGAAATTCAAAAAGGGACTGGTGACTAGTCACAAACTCGATCCTGTTTGAAGCAATCAAAAAACAGACACCACGACAAGAAAGACCATACTAAAGTTAGTAAAGCTGCTGAGTTTGAGAGTGTTCGGATTAATAATTACAGAGTTTCAATTGTTTAAAACTTGAAAAAATTACAAAGAATGTATGGAGGTTTTGAGCAGCGTCCCCAAAAACCATACATTTTCTCTTATTTTTACAAATTTGAAAAAACTCCTACTCAGTGAGTATTCAGCCAAATATGCTCAAACTTGACAAGAACTCTTATTTTAGTGTGGTCTTTCATGTGGTGAGGTTCAGTTTTCGACGAATGTAATATTTTGACAGTCTCCTTTTGAATTTCGGAATGGCCAATTCATTACTTGATTCTTGGTTGATTCAACATTCAACAYTGATTGGATTATTGAACAGATCTTCATAAATCCTTCTTCATATTTCGCTTGTGAACATGCTGCTCTTTTGTAATTTCCACAAGTYGATGCATTGCAATATGCTGTCTGTTAATTTGGTTGGATCTGMTCCTTCTCGTGAGAAATCTCAAAAAGCTAGAATGTTGTGTTGTTCTCTGTCATTATAAGAGTTTGAATTTAATTTTGCATTAATCAACTGAAGTTTGAAAACCAAAATTAAAATGAAAAATTCAAAATGCATTGAATAACGAACTATTCGGGGCTACGCTTCATCATTCTTTTGACTGTAAGTTGATTTGCCACTGTCTGCCATTGACGAAGTTTCTTACCCACGCACTGCCCACCCAGAACTCTAGTACATGTGCAGTTACATAGTCTATGTCATGTAATTCAAGGATAAACAATAGTTTGTAATGCAATTTTAGCATAAAATTAGTTGCTGATTGATAGTTGTTGATTGTTTGATATAAGTTAAGTCTATTGTAATAAACTAATTACATGTACATTACAGAACAAAGATATTTATATTTGAAATAAGCACAGTTCCTATTGAAATAAAAAATTGAAATATTAAAATATTTTGACCCTTATTTGAACGACATCCATGTTGATCAAGAAAGCAGAGACAACGCCCTAAAACTGTAATTATTCTTCAAATGTGCTAAAATTACTAAAAATCAATTCAATATGTATTCAAAGGTAAATGAACTCCTTTGCAAAGAAATTTCTTAACAGTCTTCAAAACACTAGTTTAATTTAAAATCAAACTGACAAAGGATCTTAAGACAATGAATTCGCATGTTATAAACATTACACGTTCACTAGCTCTTCGTCTTCCTCGTCTGCATAGCCGAGTAAACGCTTTGCGAGCGTTCACT